GCTTGAATATTCGAATAATCCACCGTAGCCATCGCCACTGTGACACTGGGTGGCATTTGTTGGATAATAGTGAAATTCATTTCATACTCAGACATGAGAGGATCAAAATATTTGGCTTTGTTTACTTGAGAATCAAAGTACTCCTGCAAACTTCCATCCCCCTCCCCATACCTACGAATTAACCATTGACTTTTGTAAGCAACCCGAGTGGGAACCCAAAAACTTCTCAAAAATTCTGTCTCAAATTCTCGCATCGAGGTTATCGGTGGCTTAACGGCTTGATACGACGATTTTACTCGACCTGTCAACATTCTTTCAAGATATCCTAACTGCAAATCCCTAGTAATGTTCTTGAGGCGAAAATAACTTTTTACATCCTGTATAAATTCTTTAGGATTGGATTTGTCGTTAAATTTTGGAACTTTTGAATTTGTCTGCATGTAGGGCATCTGGCTAGCCAGACCCCTAACGATTTGTTCACTCACATTGTCATTATTACCTCCGAAATCTCGAACACGTTTACCCGTTCCTCGAGCTGTGTTATCGTTTTGTCCACGATGCATCATTTCCGTTTGCAAGTCTTCGTATTGCCTCTGCATCGCTTCCGCCTCCTCACGCTGCCTCTGTGCGTTCGCTGTTAATTGTTTCGTCTTTTCTCTCTCGGCTTCTAACATTTTTCTTAACTCCGTCAGTTGCTCATCCATTGTTACCCTCAAACAGTTTAAATTAGAATTAGTATTTGAAAATGGTATTTGATTTTCAGTTTTACTCGAACTTGATTCACCCGTAATAAAATTGTGGGATTCTACGTATCTATTTAAATTTTCGATTTCAGACTTTTGTTTCTTTTTCTTATTTCCTGTCGACAACCCAGTTACAATAACACCGCTTTTGTTCGAGCGCGTGACTCTGTCTGTACGCTGTGTTGACATCAACCGTTTTGATTCAGGCTCAACTGTACCGCGACAAGGTCGCGGGAGTTATGCCACAAGTCAGGCGCCAATGTAATATTATTTTGTTATTTCAGGTTATTTCTTGCTTTAATTTTCGTTTCCTTATTTTTTAAAAACAGTATCTGAAGTGAATTTCTTGCTTTCCCATTGAGATAGTTCCTTCAGTTCAACGATAAATATTTTTCAGTTAGTATCTTGGACATGAATATTAAATTAAATGAATACATACAAATATTATTTCATATATGAGTTAATATATTCTTCAATAGATTCGTCAGAACGTCGAGTACATGAGAATAAGCAATTCGTTCGTTATCAAATTATTTACGACTTAGGAATCCAACAAAGAGATCTCAAAAAATTATGTCATTTCCAACCTCAATATTTAATTGATCACATCCAATTTTCATTTAAAAAATCCTCTCTTACCTCACACACGCTCCGCACAAACGATGCTTATAAATAATCTCGCTCCGTAGGATTAACGAAAGGACAACAATAACTAGAAAATATCCTCGGGTAATTAAATCAAATATTTTAGTTCTCGGAACCCAGAACTTGTGAACTTAACTCACGTTTCGTACAGGCAAAATGTAAAGTATCAAATAAAGAATACGTATCAAATTATCAGTGAGACAACTTATGAAAAAAATGTGCTCTTGATAATCGACGTTAGAAATTGTACAAAAACACGACCGGTCGCTTCGCTAGTCAACGCGCAAGAGACCGACTCCCTCGAGGTAACCGGCCTCGATGCTCCGGTGAACCCAGCGTCACACCCCGTTGTCCATCGTGATTGATGAAGCGGTCAATTTAAATTCAAATCATTACAGGCTGGAGTGACGAAGACCTGGCTCATCATCAGCGATGACGTAAGCCGGTTTCAGCCTGTCAATGGAGATATTCACGTTCTTGCCCTTGATGTGGACAATGAACATCTTCTGGTTGCGGCGTATGCCCTTGAAGAATCCTTGGTAGGACATCTGGAGAGGTCCTTTAGGAGCGTCATGCCGGGTGAAGACTTGCTCCGCAGTAGCCAGGTCTTTGAACACAAAGGTCTTGTGTTCTCCGTGGCGTTTGATCTTGGCGGGGCGCAAGTTGGCAAACTGCTGACGGAGCTCCTTGATGTAGTCAGCCAGGTCGTTCTGGTGACTGACTCCTCGAGGGGCGAGAAACTCTCCAGGTAGGCAGAGGGGTTTGCCGTAGGCCATCTCTGCTGCTGATGCCTGGAGATCCTCCTTCCAGGCTGCCCGAATCCCCAAGAGGGCTGTTGGGAGGACTTCTATGCCCCGCTCGTTCTCGTGGCATTTGATTGCCGCCTTGAGTTGACGATGAAGGCGTTCAACCACGCCGTTTGCTGCTGGGTGGTAGGCGGTTGTCCTCAAATGAGTTGTACCTGTTAAGCTGTTAAGATGCTTGACCAGGTGTGACTCAAAGTGCCGTCCTTGATCGGTGGTGATACGAAGGGGAACACCACAGCGGCGTATCCATCCCTCGTAGAAGGCTCTGGCAACAGTGCGAGCTTCCTGGTCCTCCAGTGGGAATGTCTCAGGCCATCGGGAGAAGCGGTCGATGCATGCGAGGCAGTATCGACGACCCTCTGAGCTGGAGAGGATGATGAGGTCGTTGTGGACGTGCTCGAACCTAGATGATGGTGGTGCAAACGATCCTACTGGAGCTGACACGTGACGTGTAACCTTGGCTTGCTGACACTGGATGCAAGAGCGAGCCCACTCGCGACAGTCTGCCTTGATGGATGGCCAAACGTAGCGTTGTGTCACCAGTTTGACCGATGCGTTGATCCCTGGGTGAGCCCGAGTGTGGATTGTGTTGAAGGCTGCTCTGCGGAATGGTGGTGTCAGGAATGGCATTGGTGATGATGCTGACGTGTCGCAGAAGATAGCTACGCCTGCTCCTGGAATCTAGACTTTCTTGAGTTGCAAACCAGACCCTGTGCATAGGAATGTCTTCAGCTCCTCGATATCCTGCTATGATGCGGCCAGAGCTGTGTCCAGGGGCTGTGTGACTTCCTCGATGCGGGACAGTGCGTCAGCGACGACGTTGTCCTTGCCGGAGACGTGGCGGATGTCAGTGCTGAACTGACTGATGAAGTCGAGATGACGGGACTGCCTGAGTGATGACTTCTCTGGCTTCTGGCGGAATGCGAAGGTGATGGGCTTGCGGTCGGTGTATATGGTTAACGTCCTGGCTTCTACCATATGCCTGAAGTGTTTGATGGCTAGGTAGATTGCCAGGAGTTCACGGTCGAATGTGCTGTATTTTCTCTCCGCTGAGCTGAGTTTCTTGGAGAAGGCTAGCGGCTACCAGTCCCCGTTGATGTGCTGCTGCAACGCTGCGCCCACGGTGTGGTCGGAAACATCGCAGATGAGTGCGAGCGTAGCATTGGCCTTGGGGTGAGCCAGGAGTGCAGCGTCTGTGAGGCTGGTCTTGCAGGTGGTGACGGCTGCTTAGGCTTCTGGAGTCCAGTTGATGGGCGTTTTTTCCTTGATGTTGCCCTCCAGAAGTCCGTTGAGTGGGGCCTGGTCCTGGGCAATTCTGGGTATGAATCTCCGGTAGAAATTCAGCATACCCAGGAACTGGCGAAGCTGTTTGGCTGTCTGAGGTGTTGGGTAGTCCGGGATGGTTTGGACGTTCTTGGGCAGCGGCCGTGTGACTTCCTTGGACACCAGGTAGCCCAGGAACTCCACTTCTGGCTGGCCGAGAACGCACTTCTGTGGGTTAATGAGGAGGCCATACGACGGGAGTCGCTCGAACAGGATCCTGAGGTGTTGGAGGTGCTGCTCTGGAGTTTCTGACGCTATCAGAATGTCGTCGATGTAGCCGTAGCAAGTCTCGCAGTACCTCGTCGATGAAACGCTGGAACGTCTCGGGTGCATTGAGTAGACCGAATGACATTTACGGAAATTCGAACATGCCGAACGGTGTAGTGATGGCCGTCTTCTGGATGTCTTCCTCAGCAAATGAGATTTGGTGGTACACCCGGACCAAGTCGATTGTTGAAAAAATCTCCTTGCCCCGGAGCGTCTGGGAGAAGTCCTGGATGTGGCGAACGGGACAGCGGTCTGGGACTGTACGTTCATTGAGTGCACGGTAGTCTCCGCAGGGTGTCCACTCATCGTTCTTTTTCTTTGCCATGTGTAGTACCGATGACCATGGGCTGTTTGAGGGTCGAGCAGTGCCAAGTTGAACCATGGTGTGGAATTCCGTCTTGGCATCTGCGAGTCGATCTGGAGCCAGTCGTCGGGGTTTGCTGTTGACCGGTGGTCCTGGTTTAGTCTGGATGTGGTGCTTGGTGTTGTGCTGCGGAGGCTTGCCTGTCCCGTCGGGTCTGGTGAAGTTGGGCAACTGCTGGAGAAGCTGGTGGTACTCTGATGTGCCTGTCACTGTCTTGATGCTTGGCAAGTCGACTGATGCGACTTGACCGAGTGAGGTGAGTGAGGTTAGGGAGTCCACGAGCCTGCCGTTGCGTAGGTCTACCATCAGTCCGAAGTGGAATAGGAAATCAACTCCGATGATAGGTTTGGAGACATTGGCGATGACGAAGCGCCAGGGAAACGTCCGCCGAAGTCTCAAGTTGAGTGCAATATTTACAGTGCCGTAGGTGGGGATGATGCTTCCGTTCGCTGCCGAGTGGTCGTAGATGGACTTCCGCTGTGGTCCAGGCGCTAGCGGTCGTGGAAAAACACACAGGTCGGCTCCGGTGTCGATCAGGAAACGCACTTCTGTCTCCTGATCGGTGATGAAAAGGCGGCAAGTTGTAGGTCCTGAGTCACTAGCCACCATTAGTGACTGCCTGTCCTGGTTCCCGAGGTGGCGAAGTTACACGGCTGCGTGCAGTTCCTGGCTTGGTAACCAAATTGCCAATGGTACCAACATGGACCATCAATTCCTGAGCGCCGGTACGTGGTACGTGATCTGGATCTGGATCTCGAACGTCTAAAGCCACCACCACCTGGATTTCCTCCGTCCGCTCTGCTCGTCCGCTTGAGGCTCTCGTTCTCGCCTCGCATCGAGTTGAACTTCTCGTCAAGGGAGAGCTAACTGAGAGAGTTTGAGGCTGACGAGTGTCTCAATGCCGTGGGCGCATGTCTCTGTGATCTGTGGTGCGCCTGGTGGGATCCTCGACTTCAGAATCTGAATCCTTTGGTCGGCGAGTTCTGCGGCATCCTCAAGAGCAGAATTGCGTTGTGTGGCCAACAACGCCTGGGCGTCGGCCGGGAGGCATGTTATCCATAGTGTCCGTAGTGTGTCGTCAGGAAAGCCGGCTCCTGCCAGATTGCTTAGGTGACGCAGAAATTGAGACGGTTTCATGTCTCCCATTTCCGCGCCCTTCAACAGTCTCCTCGTCTTCTTTTGCTGAGAGGAGCTGAGGCGTTTAATGAGCTCCGTCTTCAGGTGAGTGTAAGGGTTCTCCAGTGGTGGATTGAGAATGATGTCTCTCACCTCGACGGCGTGCTTCGACTTGGAGAGCTTGCCACATATGTGTCCGAACTTTGTCACCTCGGAAGTGATGCCGGCTGCGTGGAAGCTGCGGTCGGCAATGCTGAAGAACAGCTCTGAGTCTTCAGGTGTAAACTCTCTTAGTTGAAGAGCCACCCGACCGATCTTGGCCATTCCTTCAGCCCAGGAAATTCTGCTGTTGCTCCGGGGTCATCATGACAAGCAGTGGCAGGACGGGGTCTGTGATGATTGCCGGAACCGGTGGAACGGCCGCTGGGTTGTTCTGTTGCTGCGGCAGTGTGTCTCGCTCCAAGATCATCCGGTCCTCTGGGTTGCTGACTGCTCGATGTTCATGATTAGAATTTTAGATCACGTCGGAGTCACCAATTTGTGGAGGTGAGCAGGTTGACGAATAAATGTGAAGTCCAGCGTTGAGCGAAATTGCGTTTTATATTGGAATTGAATCTTTCTTTTCACAACGGTGAGAGTAAGTTGTAGGTAAACTTGTCCTCTGTGCGAAATTGATTCGTCGAGTGATGAATGAGTGAATGATTGACTGATGATGAGTGTGGAAAGTGCGATATTTAAGGAGAGTGCAAGGTTGTGATTGGTGGAAAAATTGGAGAAGGGATAAGTGAAATCCTGGCTTCCAATAGGTTCGGCGCTGTAAGTTCCCGCCGGTGAGCTGTGATTGGCTCGGGGGTCCCGGCGGGGACTTTTCCGTCGTAACGTCACAGGCGCCTTGCAGGTGGACGAGGGATTATGGTCTCCAGGTGATGATGAGGGATTAGGACGCGCGGCGGATTATAGTAATAACCATAAACGCAATGGAGTATTTCGGACAGCGTTTATGGTGAGGACGGACTGTTTATGGTACGGAAGTTTTGAGGATTAGGTTTCAATTTTCTGTGTGAGAGAGACGGAATTATTTGGGAATTGGCCCACTGTCTAGACAGGGGCATAATGGAAACGCAGTCGCCACAGTCTTCTCCAAAGCATCCAATTTGTGCCAGATCCTGCAACAGCTGTCATTGCTTCTCTCCAACACAGCTTGCACTTCAGCATTGCATCCATCCTTTCCCGCAACTGGAAAGAGATTGTGAAGTTTTTTAATTTTGAATCTTTCATTGGACAGCCATTGGACCAGCGATAGCCAAATTTATAATATTTTATGACGATTACTTTTGGAGCCCTTGAATAGATAACATCAACCTTAAAATTTTTTGCGGAATTAAGTATCATCAATTTAAATATTCAAATTTTCAAATATTTTATCAATCAATAATTTGAGGTAGGAAGATTGACGATTACTTCTGTAATCGAAAATCCCCCTTCAAAAAAAAATCGAATTATTCACTTAGTAGTAAATTTACAGTTTCATATCAGCAAATTTTAAATAGTTCATTATTCGTAAAAATCAGATTATTAATATTATATTATTTGAAAAATTAAATCAACATATTTTAAACCTTTAATAATGTAAGGGTCAAATCCGTGTAATATTACAGAAATTTAATATTGATGGGGATCCCTGCATTGGACCTTCAATGAGACGAAAATTTCAACAGAATAAGTCAGCTTATTCTTCATGATTCACCGGAATTATGTGACAAAATCTCATTTGGTAAAAATCCGATAATTTTAAAGGTCTCGTGATATTACTACGAAAAATATTTTTTCATTTTTCATTAAAATAAAATGAACTAGCAAATTACTATTTCAATTGTTTTAGAGCAAAAAAAATTAATTAATAGATAAGTATGGCACAGTGATGTGCCTTCTCCAACTTTGGTTCCAACTTTCATCATAGACTATTAGGAAACAATTTGATTAGGAAAGAATGAAAATATTCGGTTGTAGCAATAAAAAAAAGGTATTCAATGAATTTCAAGTTACATCTTGCATTGGATGATTGTGATAGAAAGATTGAGAGTGGGATTCGTCTAATGGCGACTCAACTTCTTGATATCTGTAATATGAATGAATTTCCACATTAAAAAACAGATTTTAAGTTTAAGAAAAATAAAACCATAACAACATTGATATATTAGACTTCTTAATTGGAACTTTGATCAAGTTGGCGTACATGTCGATATTCTACGTGACAAAATAAGATGAGAGTGCGAGAGCAACTTTTCGATCCGGTGAATATTGACCGAGACATTCACGATTGAAAACTGAATTACGGGGGTCGAAAAATACAACATGCGTCGCGACCCCTTATTGTTACCGCCAACTTCATTCGTCATTTGTTCTACGATGAAAAAAATGACGAATTGGAAAAATGAAATAAATGAAAAAGAAGTACAAACAAACAAAACAAAATGCATGGAATATGTTTTTATTTGTTTTTTGAAATTATCCCCCCTCAACATGCTGACATTATCCTGAATCCTGTTGCGAGACCAAACTCTCCTCAGGACAATCCTGGTGGAAAACCTGGAGACGAGCCTTCTCGTCAACCTCCAGACTCTCCTCAGGACAATCCTGGTGAAGATGCTGGAAAGAATTTGAGTGGTGCATTGAATACCAGGACGAAGAATCACGTTTTGTTGACACTTGCCGTGTCATCTTGTCTTTGACACTGGTTCCAAGGATAAAAGTAATTACTGGTCAAGATAGGATCAAGTGTTCAGTACGTTTTGGAGAAGTTTTTATATGGTTTGTTTCGAAATCCTATCCCCTGAGGCTGTGTACTCTACCTCGTCAAGCGTGGTGGGGTTTAAAAAAAAACAGGCTGTGTTGTCTCCTTTCAGCTGTCCCAGGTCTACTGCATCGTGAAGGGTTGTCGAAGTGGAAAAGTGAATTGTTCAATCGATAAATACAGGCGTTCAGAATTTATAATGATTCATTTTCCCTATTTGAACACAACAAAACCAAATTCTTATTAAAAAAAATTTCAAAAACTCTATAATTCATATTTTTCATTTCAAAATATCTCTCTAAAACTAGTCATCTTATCAAAAAATGTCAAAAGACTTTTTTGTAGAGAATTCAAAGAGCTACGAAAAAGTTTTATTTACATTTTCTTAAATAAACCTCTTCCTTCAGAAGTCATTGTTCATTCATTTTCTATATTTAACCAAAACGTCTTGGAAGTCGTGACACCAACAGCGAATGCATGTCTATTTCGTTTTTTTATACAAATATTTTTTATATATGTACCAATGAATGGACCATATATAAAATTCATTTATTTATGTATTAATGAATTTTCATTTACGCCAAATAAATAGTTTTTTGCATAAACAAATAATCAAAACCTCCGTAGAAAAGCTCCATTTTAATTAGTGACTCGAGGGAATTTGTTTGCAATAGAAGAATGTCTCGCTCATTTAAACAATTGTTGGAACTGTGTGCCCCGCACTTCTATACACTTTTGAGCCCGTAAACATATTTGGGCCGTTGCTCGACGGATCATGTCTGGTGGGATGGTCTCTGCAACATTGAAAATTCTCTCTTCCAGATCCACAATGTCTTGAACTAGTGTAGCATATACATCACTTTTCATCTTGCCCCAGAGAAAGTAGTCAAGAGGGTTGAAGTCAGGAGAACGAGCGGGCCATCTCCGCCAGGGGCTGTTATTCCCTATTCAACGATTCGGAAATCTTTGATTCAGACAATTAACAACCATCAATGCTCGATGTGGCCCTGCTCCATCGTGTTGGTAGATCATTCGTCGCCGCAGACCTAGAGGCACATCCTCCAAGAGACCTGGTAATTCAGTCCGAATGAAGTCCAAGTAGATGGGGCCGGTTAGTCGGTCGGGTAAAATGTAAGGAGCAATCTAGAGGGAGAGGGCAATTCTGTTGTAATTCACGTGTGTAAATTCATATTGAAATTCTAACACTTACCAAATGATTATCGATCAATCCAGTCCATACATTCATACTGTAACGTTCTTGGAAATTTCGTTCTTGTACAACATGTGGGTTTTGATGGTCGTAATGATGGTTATTGTGAATATTGAAAATTCCTTCTCGGGTGAAAATCGATTCATCCGTCTACAATATTGATCGTATAAATCGTGGATTAGCCCTGGCTTCATCGATGAGCCAGCGACTAAATCCTAGTCGTTCGAAATCCTGCTGTTCAAGTCGCTGAACTCTGGTGAAGCGATAGGGATGTAGATCATCACATTTTATTGTTCGATATACCTTCACATGGTTGGTGCCCAGTTGACGTGCAATTTTCCTGGTAAAAGTCTGTGGATCATTGTAAACACAGCCCAAAATATCATCGTCCAATTCAAAATCTTGGGGTCGACCAGCATTGTGTCGAGGACCAGGTCTCAGATTTCCCTCTTCATTAGCTCGTACAACTAACCGTCGGATGACATTGGCATGAGGATGTCGACGATTCGGATATTCTCGTGCATATTCTCGTGCAGCTATCCCTTCGTTGTTGTTGTAAAGGTAATAAAATCGTAGCATATCTACATATTCTCGATTTTCATATGCAGCCATAATTTCGTGATTGACACCTTAGACTGACAGGTGGAAGTAACTGAAGTAACCGGGTAATTGAATAGGTTCAGTTTGTACGAATATCAACAAACTCATTTGTTTCACTCCATTTATCGAATTTTTTTAACTGACTCAGTCTTCCTGTATTAACTGCTATGACGATATCAGAGGACGGGAGATGCTGAAGAAATAAAACAAGATCAAGCAAACTGGATCGATATTTTGATTGGAACAGCAACTCTCCATCGGTAAAAGACTCACTCGACGAACATTTTTTGAATGTATCAAAACTAATGGTCAATTATGAAATAATAAAAAAATACCTCATTGCAAATATGGTGTCAGTCGAATTTAACGGAGCAATTGAAGACAATTAACACTATAATCCTGTACTTTAATCTAGAAAATGAATTTCCAGGTATTTTATCATGCCAAATATTTTAAATCGTCGCACCTTCATGACTGTCCATAATACTTCATCGCAGATTGCGAACTGTTTGTTCTGAGGGTCATGGAGATTCTTCTGTTTAATGATTTCGACTATTTTCTCACTAACTTGACATCGAGACATTTCATGGGCACCAACAATTGCGGCTAATGCGAGAGAGAGAGAGAGTCACAGGTTTCACACATCCCCCTGTTACTTTCTTCTTTTTTTTTGTCTTCTCAACTTCAACTGTCATATATTCTGGCCACCATTCATCATCG